ACTTCACTTTCTCCCTGTATGCCACTGATGTCTTTCAAGCTGCTACCCCAGTGCTGGAGCTCAGAGGGAGTGAGTCTGAGTAGGTGAGCCTGTGTGTGGGTTCTTTAAAAGGAGCTGCTTGGGGCTCCCGAAGTTTCTTCCACTAACTCAATCGCCACTTGTTTTTGCAGCCAGTTGTGGAGACATCTTCCTGGCACTGGAATCCTGGGCTAGGGGTCCTGGTGTGGGTCTACAACTCCTTGCTCCCAAGATATCCCTCCCAGACTTTTATCCACATGGGTGTGGGACCAGCCTGTTCTGCATCTGTGCCCCTCCTACCAGTCCGGATGGATGTGGTTTCTTTAATCCCATAGATGTCAGACTTCTATTCAACATGATTTTGTAGTTGTCAGACTTCCATTCAGCTTGATTTCTGACATTCCTGAGTGATGGTTCTATTTTTTACTTGTAATTTTGATGTGGTTGTACAAAGACATGAGCCACGTCTGCCTATACTGCTACCTTGACCAGAAGTCTATAGTCAGTTTTGAGATCAGAAAGTATGAGTCCTCCAACTATGCTCTTCTTTATTAAAATTATTTTGGCTATTCTGATTCTCTTGCATTTTTGTTGATTTCAGGATCAGCTTATCAATTTCTGCAAAGAAGCCAGCTAGGCTTCTGACAGTTAGGGACTGCATCAAATCCGTAGATCAATGTGGGGAGTGTCACCATCTTAACAATACTAAGTTTCCGATTCATGACCTGGGACATCTTTCCATCTACTTAGATCTTTAATTTCTTTCAACAATATTTCATAGTTTTCAGAATATATGTTCTTTAGTTAAATTTATTTCTAAGCATTTTATTTTTTTGATGATAGGGTAAATGGAATTTTATTACTTTCATTTTCTGATTGTTCAATGCAAACATACAGAAATATAATTGATTTTTTTATGTTCATCTTGTATCCTGCAACCTTGTGGAATTCATTTATTAGTTCTAAGTTTGTGGATTCTTTAGGATTTTCCATATACAAGAGAATGTCAACTGCGACCAGAAATAGTTTCACTTCTTCCTTTCCAATCTAAATGTCTTTTATTTTCTCGCCTACCTGTCCTGACTAGAAACCCCGGATTATGTTGAAAAGAAGTGGCCAGAGAGCAGAATACATGTCTTTTTCCTGACCTTACGGGGGAAAGCTTTCAACCTTTTATAGTTACGTGTGATGTTACCTGGGGGTTTTTCTGATGTCCTTTGCCAGGTTGAGGAAGTTCCCTTCTATTCCTATCTGTTGAGCGTTTTCCTTATCACAAAGAGGTATTACATTTTGTCAAATACTTTTTTCTACATCTGTTACTATGATCAAATGACTTTTGTCCTTTATTCTACTAATATAGTCTATCATATTAATTTTCAGATATTAAACCAAACATTATTTCCTAGGGTAAGTATACTCAATCATGGTATACAGTCCTTTTCATACGCAACTGGATTTGGTTTGCTAGTATTTTGTAGAGATTTTACATCTATAATAAGAGATATTGTTCTATGGTTTTCTTGTGATATCCTTACTCTAGTGTTATACAGGGTAATACCAATTCAAAGAATGAGTTGGGAGTGTCCCTTCCTTCTACATATTGGAAGGGCTGTAGAATAATTCTGTCTTAATTTTACTTTATATATTTGGTAGAATTTATCAGTGAAATCATCTTGTCCTGGGCTTTTCTTTGTGAATTATTTTCAATTAGTAATTCAATCACTAATTCAATCACTTTACTTGTTTACATCTATCCAGATTTTCTCTCTCTTCAGGTATTATTTCAACAACCATTCATAATCTGGCAACCTCATTGCAGCACAGGTAGTAGCCTGTACTCCCAAATACTGAAGCTCTTGCTTTAACTCACCTAAACTTCAACTCCTCTATCACTGGTAGGGAAACTATGTGACTTTGAACAATGTGTCCTGATTTCAGATAGCTAAGCCAAAACTCAACTCATATACTGAACTGGTTGTTAGCATTCTCCCAGTTTTTTCTTATGAACAAACATGGTACAAAGTGAGTTAAGCAACAAGGTCACATACACTCTGGTGACAAGGAAACAAGAAACCAGAGAAATATTTTCACTACAGTAGCTTGAGGGATTTGATGAATTGTTCCACACCCCTCCTGTTGGCTCCTTGTCCTCCTCATCCAGCACATCTTCTAAACATGACATGATATTTGCAAGTTTTTAAGAGGTACTGTAATTGTTACCTTCTGCTTATGTGCTGAAAATAATAAAGGAAAATAATAAGACTGCAATTACTGGAGTCAAACCCACTACTTGTATGTCACAAACAAGTTTTTTAGTGTTTCTGGACTTTAGTTTCTTACCCATAATGTAGAGATAAAATAATATATATGCCAAAGTATTATTTTGATAAGCAAATAATACATGTAAAAGGCATGGAACAATAGCTGACACCTTTACATATCATATTATAGTAAACCATGCAGCTAACACATCTAAGATAGTTCCAGGTTGTTAGGATGTGGAAAGGAATAGACTTTCTATGCTCTCTGCACTGTGTAGAAGCTCTGAGAACTGAAACTGCACAGATCCCATGAGAATAGTGAATGCCTCCATTCTCAAGGAAATCCACCTTGCAGAAGAAAAGAGTGGGTGGAAAGTAACAGAGCATCATAATTAAAAGCACAGCCTCTGGAATTAGGTGGACCTGTGTCCAAAATCTGACTCCACCTTTTATTAGCTGTTACCCTGAACAAGACACTTAACTTCTCTAAGCTTCTGTTTACTCACTGGTAATATGGGAAAAATAATACTGACTATAAGGAGACTTGATGAGGATTAAGACAGTACTTGTAAAGTGCCCAGGACAAAATATCCACCGAGGAAACAAAAACTGCTTTTATTAGTTTTTTTAAATTTAGATTTAATTTTAAAATTTGTTTAAGAAATAAATAATAAAGAAACAGGACCTGATGTTGGTCCAGGAGCTCTCAACCCTGGCTATACATGTGACTCACCTGGAGAGCTTTGAGACCTTTGAAAAGCAATGTTGCCTAAATGCCACCTAAGACAAATGGAAGCAAACTCTCTGAGGATGGGTCTGGATATCAGCATTTTTAAAAGCTATCTAGGGAAATTCCAATGTGCAGTTGGGAGTGAGAACCCTAATAGTTAGCCAGCAAAGAAGGCTGGCTTTTTACCACCTGAAACTAATTGTTTTTATTAACAGCTTCTATCCTACAAAATAACCCCATCAGATTTGCCCTCTCAAACCAGAATTACTAGTATCTGATGGTGAAATGGAAGCCAAGACAGTTTGAACAATTCATTTTTGGGAGAAACAGAGAGGCAGATTCGAAACTCAAGTCAGGCCCTGAAGCCCAGACCTCTTACTCAGATGCATTTCTAACTACCACTACTTCCTCGGCACAACTGCAAACCTAATCATGATACGCTCCTCACTAAAATCCTATAACGCACTTACCCCCTTAGAATGCAGTCCATACTCCTTAATGAGAACACCACACTTCAATGCCTTGTCCAAGAGCGTGCACGGTGAGGATGAGTCACATACATGCAATTCGCTCTGGTGCTGGTCCAAATAGCCAAACCACTACCCACCCAAGGAGACAGTGTTCAATCTCAGCGGCCAGTTAACACGCTTAAGAGGAACAATGTTAATACAAAAGAATGCAATGTGAATGGCGGCCCCTGGAATTGTGCAATGTGGCAACACTGCTGGCTCCAGTTCTCTTTCTAGCCTCATCTCTCTCTGATCTCCCTTTTTTGTCATCACAATTGTTGTCTCTTCTCTCACTTCATCACCTTGACACATGCTTTTCCCTCAGTATGAAACACTGGTTCCTTATTCTGCAGACTTCATTGTAAATGTCACTTTCCAGAAAAAGTCTTTCCCAACCACCATGACCACCACCAAAGTCCTTCCCCAGTTAGACGCTGCTGCTGTCTTCCTTTCACATCCCCTAGTTCCCCCACCAGCATTCTCACACATCAGTGCTACTGAGTGCAAGGATCATGTTGGTCTTGCTCAAGATTCCCAGGGTTCTGGGGATGGTGGAGTGAACAGGGGCCCAGGAACAACTCTTGAAACAACTGACCCGCAACAAAAGGTTATTCTCCTAACTCAGGTCTTACTCTCATCTTCTAAGGCAAACTCTGTGGGAAATGTTAAAAACCGTTGAATCTGGGTGTTGTATATACAGTGATCTATTCTTCCAATTTTTTTGTAAGTTTGAAAATTTTAGGTGTAAAAATAAAGTGAGTTCTACCTCTACTCCTAATCCTGCCCTTCTTGCTAAATAGTATTCAGCTACAGGACATCTAGTAACAACTTGTCATAATCATTTTCCCACCATACGATGGCAGGACTATCAGGCAGAGAGTACCAATCTGTTGCTAGCTTAAGAAAGTACTAAAGAACCCTTAGGGTCTGCTAACAAAGAGAAAGAAGCTTCTTCCAACAGCCAGATACCGTGTTCCCACAAAATGCTAAGATTTTATCCATTTCCTTTGATAGCCTTTCCTAGAGAAGAAGAGAAATGCTGTTCAGGTCTGAGAAGAAGAGGAAGAAAAGGAGGCTGGAAAGGGTGAGCAAGCTGCAGGAGAACAGAGCAGTGATATATTATGTCATCAGGGGAGCTGAGTTACATGAATTCAGCTTGCTCTGGTGGTAGCCTAGCAGCCATATCAGCAACCAGCCAAGCATGCTCACTTCCAGCAACCACCTAATGTGCACAAGACAGAACACCGTTAACACTGAGGAGAAAGCCCCCATTAGACAGCCATTCCCAAAAGACTATGCACCATAAACAGCTCTCTCTAGTAAAAACCCTGACAAAGACATTCACTTTTGAAGTTCAGTAGATGAAGAAAGTAGAAGTGAACCCCTCACTTCCTAGCCTCTCTGTTCTCTTCTGAAGAGCATTCCTGCAGCAGAGAACAGGACGTCCATGTGGCTGACCTAAGCTCTGACACTTGCCATTACCTCTTGCTGCTTCTCCTCATTGGGGTAGGTGTCTACAAATACTCCCAGCCCCACAAATTTGTCCATGTTTCCAAACACAGGCCCTAGAGAGAGAGAAGAGATGATGAACAATGAAAAAAAGTCAAGAGTTGAAATAAGAATAATATATCACTAACGATGGAGAAAAAATAAAATTCAAATGACTCTCAGGCCTCAATTAAGACAAGAAAACATATGTAAAAGCCCCCAGTAAAGTACATGGCCTGTAACAAGCACCCAATAAATAGCTGCAGTTGCTACTGAAGACAGGGGAAAGAGAGAAGGCCACTGCAACCTTGTTTAGCACTATAGCTGCTACCTGATCCCGACTGGCTGCTGGGGCATCCCTAAAGAATTCTGCTTCACAAACACTTGGTGACAACCATGCCCCTAAGAGAGGTTTGATTTCCCAAGTTTGACTTCTGGTTGCAAAGAGATCAGGCTGAATCAGGTGGAGTTTGCCACCTGCTTGGGGCGATGGCTCCCACGCAACAGGAAAAACAGACATTCTTCTCCTAACTCAGGAGTGCTGACATTGGTCATGTGAACACCCAGAAGGAATCTGCTCACCCAACCATCAGTGTTCAGGAGAGCCAGTGCTTTCCCCTCCTCAACAGGTCAGGTCGGGTCACAGGAAAATCAGAAGGAACTAAGTAAGAATTGCCCCAGGATGAGTCAAATTCAGCTGCTTATGAGGACTCAGATCCCACTCTAGAGACTAGGCAGGCCAGTCTTCATCCACAGACACCAACGGAGAGGGAAAATTGCTGGCATTGTGGGGACGTACCCTTCTCAAAAAGAGGGTGCATGAGAAAGCACGTTGAGCCCTGACTGGTGTGGCTCAGTGGGTTGGGCATCGCCCCACAAATCAAAAGGTCTCCATTTCGATTCCTGGTCAGGGCACGTGTCCCCCGGTGGGGGCATGAGAGAGGCAATTGATGGATGTTTCTCTTGCACATCGATGTTTCCTTCCCTTTCTTTTTCCCTCCCTTCCTCTTTCTCTAAAAATAAATACATAAAATCTTTTTTAAAAAAAGAAAGGAAAAAAAAGAAAGCAGGTCATTCATCCTGTACACAAAAGCAACCCAGGATCCCAATACCTGGCTGCATCCGATCCTTTGTGTACCAGATTGCCAAGCCATCCCCATGCAGATTCTTCTTTCCTTGTCCATGGATTTTGAAGTGCACCTGCAACTCCCAGTCTCTCAGAAAACATGGCTGAAGTGAAAAACACATTGGGATCAATGAAGAGCATGAACGCAAAACCCCTCATCAGCAGTCTACAGACTAAGAAAACATACATGCAGGTAACATGAGGATAAGGGTTAAACTTGCTAAGTGATTGTCTCATAAAATTAAAGAGATAGAACCATTCAACTGTATATGAGGTTTAATATAAAAAGTATATAAACCTCCTAATTTTCTTCAACATCTCCCAAAAGGAACAGTATAGTACGCCAAAGTGGGAAAAGACACGAGACCACCATGTGAGACTGCTATCATCCTACACCGATCCAGCAAAGCATCTCAGCCTGTAGAGTACAGGTTGCTAAATTAACTCATCTGCAGCTTAAGATCACCTCTCTGACAGAAATATTCTAAAAAGCTTGAATTTAAAGAAAGGTCAAAGGCTCATTATTGTGAAAGAAGAAGAAAAACGAAGTCATTATGCAAAGGTTTCCAGGAATAATTAGCAGATGCTATACACACGTCTAATTAGTTAGACTTGGCCATATGCCAAGCTAAGGGGTAAACTGGAGTTCCCATGAGAAAGGGTAAGTTACAATCCCCCAAAACCTCATATCTGTGGCCAGGAAGCATAAATGCACCAAAAGAGAAGAACTCCACCCCCACCACAGGGACAGCTTCTGGTGGGAAACCTTTAAAGAGGTGGGTATGGTTTCTATTTTTGAACTGTGTAGCAAACCTTGGAAAATGGAGGAGGTAATTGTTAAAACGCTTTCTTTCTTTTAATTATTATTTCTAAAAAAATTTTATTGTTGACAGTATTTTGAACACTTTCAAGTAGAAACCAGAGTGGGTATTTTGTTTAGAGATGCTCCTGGTTAAAGTTCACCATGAAAAAAGAAGAGAAGAAGGATCAGATAGACCAATGGGATTCAGCCAAAGGCTCTCCAAATAGATTGTTCTGGCTCTCAAGCAACACATTGCTAGATCATTTTCAGTTTTCAGTTTAATTTCTGGGAAATCTTCCAAAAAGTGTCAGTATTGGGAGTACACAGTCCAAATGAAAGGAGTGCAGATACTTCTAAATTCACCAGCGAACCCTGCAATTTCCAATAGTTTACCCTACTCTGATGAACTCAAGTCTCTGTGTTGTCATTCTGGGTTCTCATCTTTCTGCTGTTACATTTATATTTCAGGGCAAAAGAGGTTCACATTGACCTAACAGGTGACAGGTGCCTGCCACTTATCCATGGCCTTATGTAGCACAATGCTATACAGTTTTGCTCAGGACTATGTCTAACAGTGGTTCTGAAACTTTGCTGCACATTAGATTCACCTAGTCCTAGAGGGCATTAAAAAATCCCAGTGGCCAAACTACACCCATTCCAATTAAATCAGAATCTCTGTGGGGTGGGATCCAGGTATCAACTCCAAAGGACAGCCAGATTTCAGAACTACTGCTCAAACCAATGCTTCCTATCCAAATAACTCAGAAACAAATCCCTAGGTTCTTTCTGATAGCCAGCTATCCAAAAGTACAGGTAGCAGAAAATCTGAAAAAGGTAAGGAAAACTAGAAACTAGACTAGAATTGCTGCCAAGAGTTACAGAGACAGCTTTATCAAGACAGAAGCAAAGTACCAAGCCCTGGATACAATCATTTAGTAACCAAGAGACCTCCATCAATGAACCTTAAAAGGGATGTAGAACACAACGACATGCATTTCTGTAACCATTTTAACTTTCTAAAGCTGTTTCATATTTATTTTCATAACAACCCTGGTGGGAAAGTAGAACAAGAATTATGAAGCGCATCTGACAAATGGAAAAACTGAAAACTGAGAGGTTAACTAACCTCCTGGGGCTCACAGTGGGTATGTGATACAACTAGATCTGGAACCCGAGTCTTTCAACTGGCAGTTCTTTATTTCTTCTGCCAGAACATACCACCCTACACTCTTGTCCAGGGATGAGCTCAACACTGTAGTCTGAGTTAAGGAGCCAGCTTGTGTAAATGGCTCATGCAGAAACTTCTCTTCTCCCTCTGCTCCTTTAGAATTCTCTGCACATAACATGAACAGGAAGAAGAAATAGTGGTCTTTTCTGAGATTCACTTATCTAAACCTCCCAATGACAAAACACACACACACACACACACACACACACACACACACACACAGAAGTGAGTTCTTAGGTAATGTGAACGCAAGAGAGAGTATTTAAGGATGATGCCAAGGTCATTCCCAAAAGTAAAGCAGTTGTAAAAGATTTAGAAAGAGCCCTGGAAACCAAAAAGAAAGCACCGTCTTACACTTGAGCAAAATCAGAATGCAGCCACACCAGTAGTACTACATTCACTTCTTGCTGCCATACCTCAAGGGAGACAATGTAGCTAGAAAAGGTCCAGAGAAGGACAAATAAAATGACCAAGGGCTCAAAGTGGCTATCACATGAAAATAAAACTTTAAAATTAGACTCCTCAAAGTGAAATAACAAGGGGGAGGAGAAACTGGGATGAAATTTGGGAATAAATTTAAAAGACAAGCCTTCTACTTTACAAAGGAAAGTAACTAAACATGAGTTATTAACCTTCAAGAAGTCATACTCTCAAGTCAATCAGGAATTAAAGGCATTTCAGAAAACAGAACCAAAATGAATTATTTGCTATAATTAGGGCAATAAAGAGCATTTCCCTTAATATCTAATTTCATTATGCAGGTCATCATAATCTCTGAAATGAAAACTCTTGATGTCCACAGAAGATAGAATACTGGAAATAGAGACAGTAAAATTAAGTCAATATGCCCCTGGTGAACTTTTTAGGATTTTTTGAGTCACCAACATAGGAGGGAGGATCCATTCCCCCTTTTTATATGTGAGTAAAATGTAGCACCATTAAAAAAAATTTCCCAGTTAAACCAAAAAGAGCTTGACCCTCAGGCCTCTGGGGCTTAGCTTAATCACCTTGTTTCTTTAAACGATCAAGCATGACTTCACCAGATATCTCAGGCCGTAAGCCCTATGCGAGTAAGAACTATGTCTGTATAACCCACAGCATTAGCAGAGACCCACACAGAAGAGGGAGGAAGATTCTTACCACCCGGTTCCATAGGGCACCCTGTTTACTTTGCATATCTGGGGTAAGGCGGATATATTGGGTCATCACCATGGCGTTGCCCATCAGATTCCACAATGAGGAACTTCCAGTGCCCACACCTATGGGGAGGAAGTAGATCAGTTCATACTCTTCAACACCAACCCATTCAGAAAGCCACCAGAAGGCCCTCCAAAAGCTGCAGTCATCACTTTCCCCCCCTTTCATATCAATCTCACACCTTCTATCATAAACTTTAAATCCTTATGGTCTTTACAGCTTCCTTTAACAAAGTCCTTCTCAGGTGAAGACTCCAAAACATATCAGAGCTATCGCTTTATCCATGCCACAGTTAATCATTGCTCATATCCATTCCTCCTCTTTTTTATATGCGAGTAAATTTTAGCAGCATTAAAAAAAAATTCCCCAGTTAAACCAAAAAGAGCTTGACCTTCAGGTTTTTGAGACTTAATCACCTTGTTTCTTTAAACAATCCAAGCATGACTTCACCAGATATCTGACTATAAGCCCCCTGAGCCAGTGAGAACTGTGTCCCTATAACCTCAGCATTATCAGAGACACACAGAGAGGAGGCGCTCCATGCATCTACTAAGTGAATAAAAAGTCACCCTTAACAGCAGCGTAAATGCTCTTGCGCTTGGAGTTTTTGTTTGCTGTTCCCCTACTCACGCGTTAGTGGGGAAACAGGCTTGTGTCAAGCCATCTGCACTGATGTGGTCCTCTTTGTAGCCAAGTATACACATTATCTGGTTGATAAACTGTGCCCAAGGGCCTATGAACCCTAAACAGAACAAAGCTATCAGCCTCTTTCATCAGTAGGGTTCCTGGGCTGGAGAAGAACAGGTGTTTTAACCGGCAACAGATTTATCTTCTGTCTCAGTCTGGCCAAAGTGTACCCCAGCTCTGCCTTCTGCTTTACTTCTAGTACATCCACAGCTCCATCCGGACGGAGATAGTTCATTGCTCCTGGCCCTCCGTCACTCGCCCCAATTCGCAGTCCCCTCCCTTTCCCACATTCCTCCTGTCCAACACCGAGCTCTCCTTCGTTCAGGCCTAGCCCTAGCGGCTTCCGAGAGCCCAGCTACGACCTGCTGGAAACATCCAGCGCTAAGTCCGGGTCGGTGGGGAGGGCAGGTGGGGAGGAAGACTGACCCCTGCCCTTTAGGCCCATGTTCTCCCAAAACGGCAGGAGTCCCCGTGCGTCCCCTCCCACCGCCGGAAGTTTCTGGGGCCGCGAAGCCCGTCGCCGCCCATTTCTACCGAGCAGCTCAAGTCCTGAAGCCCTCCCCGAGCACGATCACCTAGTCCCGGGCGCCTCACCCTGGTAAGGCTTCGACAGCGAGTGCTCCCGTTTCAAGTACTCGAACGTCTGACCCGCCCCGACTTTTCGGGGCCCTTGCCCAGACCCCAACAAAAGCAGCAGCAGCAACATCCTGGACCCATCCGGAGCCGACAGATGCCGCCGCCACCGGTACCACCACCCCGAGGGTCCCAAAGTGGCCGCCATCTTTTTCACCACTGTGCCTTCACCAAAAGTCCGCCCCCTCTCACACGCCATTGGCCCATGGAACCATCTGCTCCGCGTCCCATTGGCTTTTGTCGATTCCCTGTCGCCACAGGTGAGCAACCCACCGATTGGCTGGCTTGGTACAGTTGCCTTGCCAACCCAGGAAGGGGGCGTGGCCAAGTGCCTGGACTCCCTCACTTGCTTTTTCCCTGAGCTCCGCTTAGGCCTACTGGTATATGTAGTGATTTTCATTTGGCTTTGCAATCTGAAGAAAATTTAAAGAGATAAAATGTTTCTTCTGTGATCTAGACTAAATTTAAATGTTTCTTCCCGTCCCACGCAAACGTTCTAATCTCTCTGCCATAGTACCCTCCTGACTGCGGAACTATGAGGATATAAAAATGAAAGGAGAAACAGAAAATTATACAATTGAAGTAGCTGGAAAATTCTCAGGAAAATAAGCAAATTTATGAAAGACTTGAACAACACTGTCAAACAACTGGAGCTGATAACCTTAATAGAAATTTCACCCAACAGCAGCAGAAGACACATTCTCTTCACGTGCAAAAGAAACATTTGCCAAGATAGTTTGGGTCAAAACACAGCAAACTCCACCCACCCCGCTCCCACCACCACCTCCACCACACTCACAAAACCCTCACAAATTTAAAAGAATTGAAAGCATATACAAGATGTTCTATCATGACAGAATTTGACTAGAAATCAATAACAGAAATATTTTGGAGAAACCCCAAATATTTGAAAATAGAACAACTCACTTTTAAATAACCCAAGAGGGAGTAGGAGGTACTACAGGGCTTAAGCAAGTCCTCTAAAAAATAGAACAGAGTAATCAGTCCTTCACGTCGGTAAGCACAATAATACACCCAGTTTCCAAAGCCAAAAAATGTGACAGTCATCCCAGACTCTCCTTTTCCTTGCCAATTCCACCATGCAACCAATAATGAATCAAATCTTGATGATTTTATTCCTGTTTTGCAAAGCCATCACATCCTGTCCATTCTACAATTTCTCTGGAACCACATGTGTCCCTAGCATTGTGCTAGCCACCATCATCCACATGGCCACCCAACTGATCTAAACCATCTACCATGCCATTTCCTGAGTGTTGGCTAAGATTCGCCTGTGGGGAAGAGATTCAGGGACCTTATCCTGACACACAAAGCCCCCTGCCATTGGCCCTGGCCCTTCTCTGGCTTTATTGCCCACAGTTCCCTTCACCTACATGTTCCAGCTTTGCCTCTTCCTTCTCCTTTTCCCAGCCCATTCCTCCTGGAGGTCTCCCTTGAGAGTCAGATCCTTCAGGCAAGTGCCCCACTCGGAGCAGTCAGTGTGCCCCAAGCATACTTCCTACAGAGCACTTGCTAGATCTGTCTCCCTGTCTTCCCAACAGACTTAACCAAAGTTGACTCTTTCTTTCCTGAGCATAAATATACTTAATAAGAGAAACATGAATGAAAGCTTGTTTTACAGGAGATCTACTTTTTTAAAGTAAAGCTGTCACAGCCATGGATCTTCTACACACTCCACAGAGCAGATGTTTGGTGATAAGACATTTGATATTGCAGTGAATCTATTTGTTGTCACACCCTTGCTTTAAAACCATTCACGACTCCCAATTACCATAGGATAAAATCCAGACTCCTTAGTGTAGCATTCAAGGCCCTTTACAACCTTGCTTAACTCAGGCCGTACACATGTCTATTATAGTATGTCACCCTGAATTATGTAACTCAATTAGCAGATTATATATTTGTCCCTTCAGCAAGGCTGGGAGCTCCTGGACCACAGGGCGCAGGTCTTACTCATTTCCTATCTTAGGCCCCACCTATATCATCCTCTCCCTAACCCATCACCTAGCACATAGCAGGGGTTCCAATTGTTTTGAATAAAATTATTTCCATTGTATTTCTATGTCAGCTTGAATTTTTTATTATGGTAAAATATCCATTATTTTAAATTTACCGTTTTAACCATTTTAAGTATACAGTTCAGAGGCATTAGAACATTCATACTGTAATACAACCTGTCATCTGGATTTTTGATAGATTATCTCAGCAGATCTCTCATTGTTAAATTCATTATGATGAAGAAAGGGAGACCAAAAGAGAGCATGTGAAAGACAAAATGCACAGGACAATAAATTCAGTGATTTTGTTCAGATTCTCACAACAGGGAGAATGCTCATTAGTGAGGATTGTATCGAAGAAAAGGAAGGTGGCTGGTAATGGAGTCAGATCAACAACAGAGTCATTATAAGGAAAGACGGAGGATCTTGCCTGAGTCATTGAGGAAAGGTGGAAGTGGATCTTATCTTGGAATAGTCTTTTAAGGTCAGCCATTTCTCAGAATTCAAAATGGGGTGCGTGGGTAGGAGCACAAAATGATGGGGGGGCGGGTATCTTGACTGTAGGTGCTTTCTAGAAGTATGGGGTTCAGATAAGGCTTAACACAATCAAGGGTTTTAGGGGAGGTGGAGGGAAAGAGAAAAAGGAGCCATACCCCATCAATACCACTCTACACATACCTAAGGACACCTTCTGAAAGCTCAGCCGGATCTTAACCTACCATCCTTTCAGCTCCTTAACATCCCTCTTTTTCTCCATGGAATCATTTCCCAGGACGTAGGGCTGCACACCTCCAAGGTATGGGGAATTCATGTACAATGTGAGTTGTGCATTCTAGAAGTTCTGTGTGATTCCTCTACTTCCCTATCTTCAAAGCCTAACTGGTACCTTCACTTAGGAGCACTTTGAAGACTGATGCCCACCCCCACCCCCATGATACAGGCTCCAAGATAGCCTCTTGACTCCATCCTTTCCTTTCTTCACACTCTTCACTTTAAACTATGTCATTCCATTTAAATCCACCCCACCCCAAGCCTAGGACCCAAAGCAGAGCCTACCAGCAGCCCTCCCAAAGCCAGGTAAACCATTACTCCCTCCTCAGGGATCCAGGTTGGGCCCTGAGGTTTGGCTCATCTCCATCCTTACAGTTGAAGCGCATGTGGTCCCACCCTTCAGTTCTCTGAGCAGACCCTGGAGCACAGAGAGGGACAGTAGGTCTGACACTGACCGGCTACTTTCCAGGGGTGACTTACCAATTCTGGCCTCTGAAAAAGCCACAATTAAATAGCCTGAAATGCTTTTGGCATGGCCAGATGCCTGGTTCCCACTCCCAGACACCTGATTCATAAGTTTGGGGTAGGGCCCAGGGGTTTGGTTCTGAAAATCTACCCCCAGAGTATCTGATAAGCAGGAAATCTCATTTCGACATCACAATGTCTTGGTGTGGTGGGCATTTGTACTCAGTTCAGAAAGTGAATTTCAAACAGGGTATAGTGCCTAAATTGAGAGATAAGATTTATAGACTTACTTTAAATAGTTTAGAGCAAAACTCTGTGCATGTTGGAGGGAGAGAAGGATAGATGTAAAAAAGCAGCAGGTTGTTGATCAATGCCGAAGCTGGGACATGGGTACATGAGGAGTCCCTCTTGCTCTCTGTATGTTTGAGAGTTGCCATAATAAAAAGCTTTTTAAAATCTTCCTTAGAGATGATTAGAAAATATGCTGGGTATGCATTTGTGTTGTTTTCTAGATTTCCTCCAAGGAATGAAAACTATAATTAACTGTAATCTGGTAAAGTTCACTGTGACCCTTCCAATATAGTTGTCATAACTAAAAAGAGAAGAGTCTGCAATCTAGAAGAACAGTCAGGAGACGAAAAATATGTCAGAACATGTCAATTCTGTCCAGGGGACAAAATATTTCTAAGTGTCCTGTGTTGGCTTATTCAAATCAAGCCTACTGGCCTAACTCATAAGTAAGGACTTCCCACTTAACAGTCTAGCTCTCTTAACAGTTTAATTTCTCACTATATCAAGGAATTAGTATTAGTATATTATTTTATTGCTAATATTAGTATATTAATTAAGAAATTAGCACTTGGATTTATCACTTAGTTATTTATTTAGTCAGTGTGACTTGCTTTCCCCAACCTGTTTTACCCTGTAGTGAACTGATAAAAATCAATGTTCTAAGGACCAGATCGTAGATCTGTGGTGACTCCATGAAGTGGCAGAAATCCCCAAATTTAGGGACTGCCTCTAGGCATCCAGATGCCTGCTTGTCACAGAGTAGGGGCATAAAGTTCACCAAGGATTGCAGAATAGGTGGGCAGGAGGGAGGAGAACTCTTGAATATCTGAGTTGGAATAGAAACATCTGCCCTTTTGAGACCTGGCTCTACTGTATGACCTTGGGCACATTCCGTAATCTCTCTGAGCCTCAAATTCTCTCTCTGTAAATTGGGAATGATGACGTTTACCACACCTGATTGTTGCAAGCCCTTACATGAAAGGTTGTATAAGGAATGCACAGGCACACTGTAGAATCTAGAGAGTTCTATGTGTATCCAAATGACTACTCTTTATTAAGGCTTGCCTGCTTGTGCTCTGAAATGTGTTTGGAAAAGTTGGTTTGGTCCCTTTAGAAAAAAGTGCATGTGTCAGAAATAGGTTTATAAATGAAGTAGAAACCACTCGCTCACTTGAGGATATCACTGAGGAAGCTGGGGTACAGGGTGGAAGTATAGAATGTGCAAATCCTATCACTGGGGTTTATAATTAGAAATATGATAAGCTATAGCTTCAAAGACCAAACAGCAAAGAAAAGGCTTTGGGCCCTGGCTGATGTGGCTCAGTTGGTTGGAGCACTGTCCCATAACCGAAGGGATGTGGGGTCAATTCCAGTTAGAGCACACACTTAGGTTGTGGGATCAATCCCCAGTCCAGGCTCATATGGGAGGCAAGCAATCAATGCTTCTCTCTTGCATTGATGTTTCTCTCTCCCTTTCTCTCTCTCTAAAAAGCAACGAAAAACGTATCCTCAGGTGAGGAAGGAAGAAAAAGGATTTGGTGGTTATAATTTTCCTCATTTGCCTTGTGCCTGTGGAAGATGAACAGGTGAAGAAGCCCTGAGCTCTCCAGGAGCTGGGTGG